AGTCCGGGAACTTTCCGGACAAACTGTGTATATACAGGGTATAAAAAGTACCTATACCGCGAAAAACCTTGAAAACTAAGCATGTCACAAAAAAGTGTTTCAGATAAAATTGTAGAGTTTTAAAGGGGATCTATTTACTAATTTTATCCGTTTGAATGACATTTCCAAGGTCAGGACAAGGTCACCTTGAGTTTTTTTTAATGGACCACTCTACTCTTTATTGCAAATTCTTAAAGCTTAATTTAAGAGCTTTTCAAGACACTATAATAGTTTATCTTAATTAAGTACTTTTTGACGTATGAGGGTTGAATTAGAGTATCGCCGGTATTAACATTATTTATTAACGTTATCATTTATTTCAAATGTTGCTTTATCTAAAATAACTATGTTGAATAGGAAATTAAGTTCTTTGTCAATTCTTTGCATTATTTGCTTACAAAATTCGTTTTGATCACAATCATCTTCGTCGAAAAAGTTTCGGTGCGGTATTCTAATATTCAACTTTCATAACAAAAACTGCTTAATGAAAAAAATTTTTATTATAATGTTTTGAAAAGCTCTTGAATCAAGCTATAAGAATCTGCAATTAAAAGTAGAGTGTTCCATTTAAAAAAATCAATGTGTTCTTGACTTGATCTTAGTGGCGCTTTCCAAAGTCATACTACTACAATTGATAAATAGATTTTTTTAAGCCCAACAACTTTTATCTGAAACCTTTTTTCATACAATTTTTAGTTTTCAAGATTTTTTGCAGTACCGATACTTGTTAACTACCTTGTATAAAAAATATAATGCTTTAGAAAAGAATGTTTTTACTATTTAAACATAAATTTAATTTCTAATTAGAACGGTGTTAATTATACAACTTATATGCATACATATATATAATATATGAATAGCAAGACTCGAGTAGATTACTTTAGTGCTTTTTTACATATTTGAGGATATACTTTGTCGAAAATAAGAAGTGGTTTTCGCTCTCGTTTTGAAATAGACGCCAACATTTTATTTACGACTGAATTTAGCAGAAGAATTCAGTCAAGACAAGTGAACTGTATAGCAAGAATTATTTATTCTTTTGTGTGTTTGAGGAAACGATGTCACAGAAAATTTAGACTTTGCTCTCTTTTTGAAATAGATATTTATGTTTCATCATTATTTGACTTCAGAAACTGCATGAAATCAAGTAAATTAAACAGCAAGAATAGTGTGCACACACATTTATGTCAAATTATAATCATCAATTTGTTTATCATTGTTTTGACATGAAGCAACAATCATTACATCAAAGATGTTTTTTCGGGTGTGAACCGCGTTAGTGTCATTTTTATACCGACGTTTCGTGAACATTACAGCTCACTTCATCAGGGTTTGAAGAGCAGCCTGATACTGAGATGCTTTTGGTCAGTTGTCTCTTTTTATAGCGCTAGATTGGAGTGAGAGGAGTGTGGTAGAAGAGGGGTAGAATGGTAAGAAGGAGGGGAGGATGTGTTATGGCAAGATAGAATGCCATAGTGAACTAGTCATATGTCCATTGTCTCTATTGAGATCGTTTGGATGTTTGTATATCTCCAGAGATTCCGTATACTTTCTAGGAAAGTAAGACCTAGTTTTGTTTAGTATTTGGGTTTGGTCAAACATAATTTTGTGACCAGTTTCCAAATGGTGTTCTGCTAATGCCGATTGTGAGTAATGTTTTAAACGTACTGCTGACTGATGTTCTTTTAGTCGTGTGCTTATCATTCTACCAGTTTCACTTACGTATACTTTACCGTATGAACAAGGTATTTTGTACACTCCTGGTGTGTCTAATAGCGGTCTTTTGTCTTTTGGATTGTTAAGAATCTGTCCTATTTTATTCGTTGGTTTGTAGACCGTTTGTATGTTGTGTTTGTTCAGGATTCTGCCAATCTTATCTGTGACACTCTTTATGTATGGGAGGTAAGTGGTTCCTTTCTTTAAGTTTGTTGTTTGTTCTGGTGCTGGTGTTTTTTGAGTGGTGGTAGAGGGTTTATTTTGATGTTTTTTAATTACTTCGTTTATTTGTTGCAGTGTGTAGCCATTTATTTGTAGAGTGTTTTTTAATTTTTTGAGTTCGTTTTGAATGCTGTCTTTGTCGCATATAGTAAATGCTCTATAGATCAACGAGTTTATCACAGCTTGTTTTTGGGCTGGGTGATGATGTGATGCCGCGTGTAAATATCGATTGGTGTGGGTGGATTTTCTATAGATTTGGTGGCCTAAAGATCCGTCTGGTTTTCTTGTGACCAGAACATCTACAAATGGAAGTTTACCATGTTGTTCTGTTTCTAATGTGAAGATAATGTTTGGGTGTTGTTTATTGAGAAACTCTAAAAAGTTATAGAGTTCTCTCTCCCCATGTTGCCAAATGACAAAGGTGTCATCTACGTACCGGTACCATGTTTGTGGCTTTTTTTGATGGCCTGAGATTCGAAGTGTTCCATAAATATGTTTGCTATGATTAGAGATATCGGTGATCCCATAGCTGCACCTGTGATTTGTTTATAGAATTGGTTATTGTAGGTGAAATAGGTTGTGGTCAGGCAATGTTCTACCAATGATATAAGGTCGGATGATAGTTGACTTGAAGATTTAATTATGTTAATGGTGTCATGGATTGGTACCTGCGTGAGCACAATATCAAAACTAATTAAAATGTCATTAGGTTGAAGTTTGATGTTTTTGATTTTAGAAATGAAGTCAGATGAGTTTTTTTATCGTGGTGTCAGTTTTACCCGTGAGAGATTCTAGTATGCTGACCAGGAAGCAAGCTAGATCGTATGTAGGCGAGTTTATAGCGCTTACTATGGGTCTGAGGGGTATGTTGTTTTTATGGATTTTGGGTAGTCCATATAGTCTAAGTGGTACCGCGTTTCTGGGTATTGACATGTCTGGGAGATTGTTTTTCTTAATAAAATTGGTGGTGAGAGTTTTAAGTGAAGCAGTAGGGTCTTTCTTAAGTTTTTCATATGTGGAGTCTGTAAGTAATGAATTTTAGTGTCATAATCTGTTTTNTTCATGATCACTGTTGTATTGCCTTTATTTGCTGGAAGGATGATAATATCTGTGTCTTGATTTAATTGTTTCAAAGCACATGGACGTATGACTAGTTCACTATGGCATTCCATCTTGCCATGACACATCCTCCCTTCCTTTTTACCATTCCACCCCTCCTCCACCACACCCTTCCCACTCCAATCTAGCGCTATAAAACGGGACATCTGATCAAGAGCATCTCAGTATCAGGCTGCTTTTCAAACCCTGATGAAGTGAGCTGTAATGTTCACAAAACGTCGGTATAAAAATGACACTAACGCGGTTCAAACCCGAAAAAACATTTTTGTATGTTAGTACTATTAGATATTGGATAAAAAATGCCTTAAAAAAACACAGCTGTGACCGCACCAATTGGTATAGCAGCTTTTAATATTGATGGACTTACTATACATG